GTGCTCTTCCGATGTGTGATTTCATCCCTTCAAAACGGAATAGAGCACCAACAAAAAATAGTTTCGTACTACGGAAGAACTGCTCTACTTTTACAAAGTTTCAAATTTTTCTGAATTTTCGAATTCCCTAACTTTCCTTGTCAGTATTGAAACGGTCAATCTTATTCTAATTATATAAGTGTATCAACGACTTCGAGTACAACGTATAGTTTCAATTTCAAGAAACTGTGACTATTTTCAATTCGCGAGTGTACTACCTTAAGGCATGTGACATTTGTGTCTCCGTCGTACCTTACGAAATACTCCGACGAAAAGTTACAACAATTCTGGATATTTACATTTAAAGAAACGTTATTGTCACTGCCTATTGACGTATAAATTAATATTTGATATAATATTAAAACTATATAGCGCGCGCGTATTACGAAAAGAAATAATGATTTTACGAATATGTCGCATCGACAATGTCGTATTAGCATAATGACCAAAATCCGGAGCTCGATGTTGTTTTTTTCATTTCAAACTGCATGCGACAGTTACAAGAAGTAATACCATTTATGTGATAATGGCATTATCTTAATTACCTTAGAACAACTGGATTATAGTTAGAACACCGGCTTGGAGTGGGGAAAACAAAAGGCACCAACCCGAAAAGAACATACTTATATGGTTATCATGTACATATGTCAGTACTGTTAATACTATAGAAGAGAGATATTTAGAAAATCATTATTCGTTTTTTATGATACGCGTTTTGTGATATACGCTACATAGCTTCAATATTATACCGAATTTTAATTTATGCGTCAATGATATATACTAATATTTGGCGGAAGCCAATATTGCGTCCGTAAAAAAATAAGACATTAAAAGGTTCAGTTACAATTTGATTGCGAAAACAGACGAAAAATCTGTGTGTATTTTCTGGTCTTACAAAGTGATACAACGTGTCCCGGATCCTCCGAAAAACGAATAAGGTAAGTTTGCAATCTAAGATCAATCTTATCAGAATATCAGGGAATATCCATATTGCTTGAAACTATAAATTATGCAGCAAATGATATTTTTCAAAGAATTCTTTCTTAGATATATATCTGGCAAATAAGAAATAACTTACACTGAGAGAAAATATTTTGTATTTATGACTATAATTGCATAGTAAAAAATTATGATTAGCAATATTTTTATAGCTACTTTATAGTTATTACACATACTTTACAGCACTATTTTTATAGTTGTTATTACTCTAATGTTAATAATAATAACCTTATATATATAATTCTATCAAAAATGATAAAATTTTACTATAATTTATTAGAGTTTAAGGAAAGTTTCTGCGCATTTTTGGCAATTTTTATTTTTTTAAATAAAATTAATGGTACAGTACCTGTTAAACAAAGTATTTGTCATTGTTTTCTACCACCTTTGCCCACCTCTCAGGCAGCATGCGAATGCCACGTTGAAAGAATTCGTTATCTTTTGACGTAACGGATAATTGGATTGTCAAAAGATAACGAATTCTTTCAACGTGGTATTCGTATGCTGCCTGAAAGGTGGGCAAAAGTGGTAGAAAACGATGGCAAATACTTCGATTAACAGATGCTGTAGTATTTATTTAAAAAAAATAAAAATTGTCAAAAATGCGCGGGAACTTTCCCTACACCCTACAATATAATAATTTGAAATATTAATATAGCAAAGTATTAAAATTCATATAACAAATGAAATAAATATTTGTTTGTAGTAAATGCAACTCCAATTACAGTAAGTATAACTAGTTTCTTAACGTTTGCTTACTATTTATATTGTAATAATATCTAAGAAATAAGTAAACAAAAATATAATATCAATCATAATGTATAACCATAATGCATTGTTTAAAGCAGCTATAATTTGCATGGTTAAATTAATTATAATTATAGTTTTCTCCAAAATTAATATAAATTATAAT